GACTGACATCTGTCCCAGCTGCACTCTGTAATTGGTGGGGCAGGGCAAAGGAGAGAGCAGCCTGAGATCTCAGCCACAGCCCATCACACCACTGAGCTCCTGTCCCCTGCCTGCAGCCCTGTCCTTCAGGGATAAAGCAGGAGCTGGCTCTGGACCAGAGGGTAGGCACCTGCCAGCTCCTCCCAAAAACCCTGGGGAGCAGAGCCTGGCACACACACTGCAAATCATCAAACTCCTCCCAGTCAAGACATGGGGCTCCCTCCGAAATAACAATCTATTATCAAACAGCTCCACAGCAAGATTTCACCTTCATATGTCCCAAGGAAGAATGCCAAGTCTCAGCACAGTTGTCTCCCTTGAACCAAGATAAAAGTATGACTTTTTTCTTCCAAGCCCTGACACCTGCAACTATAAATTACCACAAAACTCCCAAAGTTCAGTTTCTGGAGTTTGTCAGCTTGAACACTTAACACCCTTTCTTTTTGTAACATCCAAATTTTCTATTGTACCGTGCTGAACTTTCCTTCCTGAATAACTCTCAAAATTCATGCATTTATCTCTTGCTTTTTCCTTCATTTTCATTTTTAGTTCCTCCTCTGCAGCTAAATCAGTGTCTTTAAAAGCTTATTAGGAGTTGTTGAGAATTTAATACTTTAATGTCAGAAGTCTGACAGTGAAATTACTGAGATTCTGTAGCAACATAGGCCAATTTTCCAGCTTTTTTAGAAGGCAACAGAATATGATTGCCCTCTGTTTTTTCTCAGTCCATCTACCAGCTAATTTGCAGGCCCAAGTAAAACAGTCTTTTCTGTTCTCTGTACTTACTTCTTCACTTTTGCATGCAGTTCTGTGACAATGAACAAGGGTAGATCAGCTGCATAAATTTCTTTTAAAGCTTCTATTTTAACCTTCAAGCCTTCTGTTTGTCACTTTAAGTTTATGTGCCAAAGACATGAGAAAGCAAAAGCCAGCAGTTTGTCAAAGCATGATCTCTGGGGACTTGGGAACTGTTTCAGCTGTCACCATGTCACCCCATGCACCTATTGATGTAACTTTTGATGTGCAGCAACAAATGGTAAACAATTCCTCTCTCAGAAAGCACTTCTGCTTGTGTTGGAGTCAGTGCTTTTGATCAATAAACCATTGAGGTATATTCCAGTAGGAATATTATTCGAAGTATTGCTCAGGAACAACATGCTCCACGCACTGTTTGTTTTCAGGGCTGTAAGCTTTATATTTCCAGTCTCTCCAAGTATCTCTCCACTGCTCACTTTTTATCCACATCTCCAGTTCCAGAAAAGGATCACTGGTTTCTATTGGTGTAAGTTTTAATCTAAGAAACAGGTTACTGTGTCTATCACCACAAGAACAAATTTCAGTTCTTTCTGTGGCACTGGTACCTAACAGAACCATTTCTTCATGTTAGACCCAGTGCTTACTTCTAACATAATTCCCTGGGCTCACTGAGCCCTTTTGAACTCACAGTCCCCTGTGTTTCTTAATTATGATGTAAGGTTTTCTAGGTTGCTCCAGAGCTTATAAATGAGATTTACAGCTATCAACTGCTGTCAGGATGCCCAGTGCTTTACACACTTCTTCATTTTCAAATCCCTCTTCTGCAAATGCAGTCCAAACCAGCCATCTCCACCACTGCTACACAGAAGTGCCACCATCTCTCTGTCTTGTCAGTGACCATGAGAGTACAGTCATTGATCCAAGCTGATGTAGATTTTACTCCTAGTACCTTAGATGTACAACTGTGCTGGTAAGTCCCCACATCCATGCAGACCACAGCTCCTCAGAGTATTAGTATTACTGGGATGCTCATATCAAGCCTAAACACTGCTGTCCCACATCAGTGGTTTCTGTTTTGTCCTCACCTCTCAGCAGTTTCTGCTGTAAACTGACCCGTTCAGATGGCTCTTTTATTCTCCCTAACATGCCAGAGCACTTGTCTCAATTTTCACTTTATTAAAAATGCAAACACAGGGTAGTCTGTGCTCTTGACACTACATTTATAGATAGCTCAGTTTTCTCAAAGTCCAGGTGTTAAATGCCCTGGGTGAGCACAACAGAATCTGTCCTTCTGTTTAGATCACTTTCACACTCTTGGACCCCACTGGGATTTTCTTTCTCTACAAAGTTCCAGTCGGATTCCAGGACTGTCTGCTATGCAGAGAGTTGATAGCACTTCATCTGCCCAGTCTGTGGAATAGCTGTCCCAACTGACAGATCTGCACAATTGTGTGATACCAATCCTGCCATGAGGAAGATGCAGAGGGGTCAGAACAAGATGGTCTTTATGATCCCTTACAACCCAAACTATTCCATGACGCTATGAATATTTTTTTCTTAGAACTCTGTTTACTGAGCCCCTATGGCTATTCTATATCTTATAGTTATCCTCATGAATGTGCAAACTCTCCCCTCTGCAGTTAGCAGCACAACCTGTGCTTCACTGCTGTTCTCCCCTGGATTCTGTCTTCTCCTCAAAATTCCACACTTGTCACCTTTATTAAACTGTTCTCCTTGACTTACTCTTCCCTAGATGCACTGAATGTTAGGGATGCTTTATCTTGCCTCTGAAAAACACCAAAAACTGTTTATTTGAGGCTCACATCCTGGGTGCATTTTCCAGTGCTGAATCGTACTTTTGCAGCGTTGGATTAAACCCTTGGTAGGGGCTTTTCTATGGCTTTTCTATCCAGCTGAACAAAACTCTGAATTACAAATTCGCACACAAATCAAAATCCAGGTTTTGAGAGAACTGAAATACTTGTGGACTCCAAAGGAATTTGGCAGCAGCTTTTAGGAGGAAAAAAATATTCAGGCTACAAAAGTTAGAACATTAGCCAACATCTGACAAGGCAATATTTGTAATGCCACCTTTCATTTCAAAATGCTGGATTATGTTATGTTGCACAGGGATGTCAGACACGCTGTGAATGTCACAGTCAACTAGCAAAAAAAAAAATAGTCAGGGTTATTCCCAGAATTTAATTCCCAGACATGAAGGGTTCCCCTCCTGCCTTGCTGCTGCAGCACTTTGCACAGCGTCATGTTCTCTGACACCTTTCATCTGAAGATATCAAAGCAAGCCACAGACTCTTGCTAATAACAGACTATTCCTGGAATACTTATGAGGTAAGATATTACTATAACACTTAATTTATTGACAAGAAAACTGAATCAGAGTTTTGTTAATGAGAAAACTGAATTAGAAATTTATTAAATCGAGTTAGGAACTGATTAGAGGAGACAGATGTCAGACTTAACCCCTGAATTCCTGGCTCCCAGCCCTGGATAACACATGCACGCTTCTCAGCGGTCTCCAATTGAACTCAGTGTTTTTGCCCATGCCACCAATCCAGCTGCAGGCAGATGGAGGTGTTCCTCCCACGCCCCAGAGCAATTCATTACATTACACTCTGCCCTTACTACAACAAAGTGGTGCCATTAAAGCCCGTCCTACAGAGCCCCACAGGAGCGTGTGACCAGAATGAAAGCAGCAGGGCACAGTTCACGAGCCACCAGTGAAGCACTTTACCACAACTTGCTTTCAGAAGCAAAAGCCTTATTTTAAATAAAACAAAAAAACTTCTGCTTTGATAAATGCTGGCTGCTTCAAAAAGATATTCTGTTCTCAAATCTCCCCAGCTAAATGCCACCACAGCTGTAAGGGTGAACCACGTGTGTAGTCAGGCTGGGAATTATCTACATAAATAAAGAGCACAGCTTGAAACATTGACTTTTTCCTGATCAAAAGGGCCTGGGAGGCAACTGGACAGTTTGGATCAGGCAAAGGATAGGGCTTTTATTATTTTCAAAGAACACCCCAGTGAATAGAGTAGCCAACGTGGCCCTGGTGGCAGTGATATGTTCTAACACTCCCCTCAACCCACACAAATTACTTAAAAGCTTGGCTTTGGGTCTATTTACGATTTGGGGATTTTCCATTTTTCTTTTTGTTAAAGAACTTTTGTAGGGAAAATGTGAAATACAATCAACCCCTTCATGAGGCTTTTTAATATCAGTGCCTGTCTAAGCTACCTCCCTCACATACCAAAAAATAAATTGCAAATATTAACAAAGAAATCTTCTCTATGTCTTCATTTTACACATATTAAAAAAAATAGGCGCCTGAATTCTATCAAAGTACTTTTTTTATTTTACTATGAATTTTCATATTAGTTTTCTTTGTATATTCTGACTGGAAATTAATAAAGGACACAGAAAATCCCTTTCCTTCCTGTTCTTATCTGGTTTCTTTCACTAGTTATTTTTGACTAGTTATGCTTAAATGCAAGATTCAACAGGAAGAAAATTATTCATGAAAAAAAGTCAAACCCATGAAATATTTACACTCTTCCACTTTGTAAGCTGTTCTATTTAACAAAACTTAAAGGATTTAAGATATACAAAGCAAAATGTTCTTCAGAAAGAACTGTTTCTCTTTTAACAGATAACAATCTGACATGGGTGTTATGTGACAGCTAAACAACACATTCCAAATAAATACACTCCTTCAATATCATGAATGTTGCAGTTTGTTTTCATGCTAAACAGAAGTACTGTGGCAATAACAGAAATTACTTTGGTCTTGACTTCTTGCACAGGAAACCAGAAAGAGTTCCACCTTTTTCTTCAACTGCTGTGTTTCCTATCATCTTAAAACCATATGTATAACAAAATATCCTTACTAGTGTCATAAAAACATGACAAATGCAGAGCTGTTACTTAAAATAAAATAGATTCAATCTCAAGTTCTATCTCAAACCAATTGGATTTTCCAAGTTGTGGTGTTTTGATTGGATTCATTTTGATGAAGAAAACTTTATAAACTCAAAATACAGTAGCATCACTTGTACAACAGATGAGACAATAAGGTAGTATAAAACTATATTGAAACTTTAAAAGGTATATCCTCCTTGGCATGTTTTGGTTTTTAAATGTCAGGCAGAAATGACAAAGATATTATTTTCTATAACTGATCTCATAGGATTACCTGTGAGAATTGTTATGAAGCTAATATTTTCTGTTTCACCTGAACACAAAGCTATAAAACATCAATGTCAATGCAGGCTTACCTGCTTTGACTGCAGATGTATGTGACTGGGCATATAACAAATCTTCAGCATGTTGCCAATATTGGAGACCTACAGAGCAGTAACAGCCATTGGCTATACTGGACATTTCTGGAATAGCACCTGTGATATAATGACTAAAAGATGATAGAAGTCTAATTTAATTGAAGCTAACAGCAAGATGTCCCTTTAACCTGGGCAGCAGTAGTAGCAATTCCTCTGGCTTTTCTTAGCAGTGGTAGGATTCTGAAGCTTGTTAAACTCAGTGCTTTCAAACTACTAACTTCCAGCAAAGCATTGATCATCACTCATTAAAAAAATTATCCCCTATGAAAGGCAGCTTATGAACATATTTGTGCACCAATATTTTTAAATTTTAAAACATTTATTTGCTCTCATTGTAAAGCTTATCTGCCCAAGATACCTGCAAGGGGTAGAGTAGTACAGGAAATAAAACTGAACCCTTCCTTATCTGAGTGATCCAAAAGTAGTTACTGTGCCTGTGGTGTAAAGAAGAGTGTTTTAATAGCTATGGAATTTCTCCCTGTTTGAAGGATGCCCCATGGATCTTTCTTATCTGAAGCCTGAAACTCATTGTTTGATGGGGCAGGCCTGAACACAAAACACTGGTGAAATTTATGGTCATATTTTGAAGGCCAAATCTATATTCTAAGGAGAGAGAAATCATGTCTTTTCTTCAGAAACACCTCTTTCATTTTCTCACTCTTCCATCAAATACCTTCATAGCTTCTGTATTCAGAGTCTAAGAGACAAGGAAGGAAGAGGAACTTTTTTTGGTTTTTTTAACAACACTATGCAATACTTGTAGATTAAATCATGGAAAAAAACATTCCAGAAGATTACAATCTGATGCAGATGGGAAAAGCAGAAGAGCCAGGCAGGGAAAGGAATGTTATCAGAAACGCCTATTTGTATCTCATGGTCCAGAGTGCAAAAGTAGAAACATATTTTCTTTAAACACCCAAAAATTACAATTCCTTCTGAGACAGGATAATGCTTAAACTCTCCAACAAACAAGGAGAAGCTGGATTTGAGACAATCAAGGCCAGATTTCCCAAGCAGAGCATCCAATCCTGAATGCCTGAGAGGTTAAACACAAAACCTTTGGGAAGAGAGAGGACAAGAGAGACCCAAGAACTTAAACAAGCAGGGGACTGGACTAAAGCACACTGCTCAAACAGAATTTGATGATACAAAGGTAAAGAAGATAGACATATTATGAAGGCAACAATTAAGAGGAGGCATGCTAGAAAAGAAATTTGGGGACAACAAGGAAAATACAAAGGGCTTTGCCTTTCCCAGTTCCATCTAATGGAGTCACGAGGCACCCATGTGACATAGTACCAGGCTGCTGAAGACACCTGAATCTCAGAATCTCTCTTCCAATTTCTTATGAAATAATAGCTGGGAGTGGACAAAAAAAAGTACTCAAAAGTTTCTAATTAGATGTATGGATGGCACTCTTAGATCTAGTTACACATATTTGACTCAATGGAGAGCTTCACAGACACAGAGCTGTGAACACCCCAGTACAGCAAATGGATGTGTGCACTGAAACTCGACAGGTGACACAATCTGTAAATGCTACCTGTAGCAGAAGATATTGCTTTACACCTGGGTGATGACAGTATGATGGATTTATAAGTACAAAATTTTGAAATATGGCAATATTTCTTTCCCTCAACACATTTCCTTCAACACTTTCACACCAATATGGGTTAATCAGCCACAGAACTTCAGCTGCCACATGTTGGCACTAATTCACTGACCTCAAACCAGTGCTGGAAGACTGATTTCAGCTGTGTCTAACCTCCCACCCTACTCACCCCTGGCTGAAGAGCAGGGAGAGAGTATCACCACCCCACACAGCCACAGTATCTCCTCCAATTTAAGTCTTTATGGGTGCTTCAATATGCACATGGACTGATTACAACACAAAACACTTTGGATGGTGTCACACACACAGTATTTCCTATGTCATTAGCAAATGTCTCTCTCTACTCTCCCCTTACTCATAAGGAAGGGTAAGAATTAGACATAGTGCCCGACCTTGGCTATAAATCAAATCCAAATTTCCACTAGGTAGGACTGGAAGCCAGAAATATCTGGTTCCTTGTTTCCATCCACACAGCACATCACAGTCACCCCAGAGAAATGAAAGTTTCTACCTTGATACATTTAGTAAAGGCTAAAACGACTCCATTACACCAGTGAGAACATTTAGGGGAAAATAGTACTGATTTCCCATACTAAGCAACGTCTTTATGCAAAATTCACAACTGCTAGCATTTCCCTTAGCTTTCAGTACCCAGTTTCTGTGAACATTCTTTTCTCCAGATAAATATTGACAGTCTGTGGTCGATTGTTTGGATCACAGCAGTACATTTTAGCTGCAGGATTTAGGCTGGAGTCTGTTTTGGGGCTGTGTATGCCTAGAACTAATAACAGAGGTTTAGGCCCTGGGACTCAACACACTTCTGAGCCTATAAAACCTTTCAGATTTTGTCTGTCTCCGGGTGTATTACACAAAGTTGTGAGTTCATACCAAACCTTCCTTCTCTGCCCACAAGCTAGAAAGAGTTTTAAAGTGTTGGGAGCACAACCTGACGTGCTGAGTGTGTGCAAGCCCAGAGAGCAGGTTTTGTTGCAGGCTGAATAACCTGAAAACAGTCATATCTCAGTTTCAGAGCCCCGAGCTGCATGGCCTGAACAGGGACATCTTAAAGAGCTCTTAGGATCTTGAGCAGCTCAGAATCTGGGGGAGAACTCACTACTCTGCACTACTTTCATTTCTCTCCAATTAATCATATTTTTCAAAACAAATGGTTGTAATTCATCAGCATAAGAAATGGTGCCAAGAAAAGAACAGACATCTTTTTAAACATTCTCTGCACGTTTCTTCACTGGCCAGCTGACATTACCTGAGATGTGCCTTGTAGCTAAGGCCTGAGGGGGAAGAGCAAAGTCCTTAAAGGGGTGGAAACCTGGGAAGGTGGGACTGCACTGCTGACCCCAATAAAGAACACAGCAGGTGATTGGAGAGCATCAGTGGATAGACAGAAGCCTGCTGAGTCCATGTTCAATGCATTAGCATGTCAGTGGGATTTATACTGTGGGGGAAATAGAAGTCCAGACCACAATTTTAGCATAAGGTGAAGGAAACTACATAGTTGTAATAAAGTGTAAAATTCAAGTAATGGGGTTAGCACAAGTGTGGCATTGCAGGCAAAAGGGCTTTGGGGTCCCACAGTCACTACCTCTCAGAGATGGCACAGGTTTACTTGGATCTCTCAGCTTTGCCTGCTTCAGTATTTGCAGATTGTCATGCTAAATACCTGACTTGGGCACTTTTATCCTCATACACAACTCTTCCATGTCTATGAGCATTTTCTTGTCAGGGATCTATAATACGGCTCTAAAAACTCCCTGTTCATCTCAGTCATCCTTTGAAAATATTAACTAAAAATAAATCTAGAATATAATCTCCAACGAATTTAAGTCCTAGGTAGAGCAAAAGCAATTGTTTTACAGCATATCCTTCTCTTTCAGCAGATATTAGTTTATAAATTCACTATGGTGAACATTTTTGCTGATATCCTGATAAACATTTCTGACACAGGACCTCAGCTACTTACAGCCCTCATATACTAAGTATGATGCAACACAAAATGATCTCACAGAAACTGAGGAGTATTTTAATAACAAATTTGTTATAATTGTCTGGATTCCTTCCTTGTGCAAGTTTAATGAATTCAGGGACTTGTTCTTCCTATATGATGACAAGTTTCTACCTAGGATGTTATAAAATTCCTCTGGTACTTTTTTTCTGGAAAATCCAAATAAACACAAAATGCTATTGAAGAAGATACAAACAGCTTTAAAATGTGTGTAATTGTGAGTATTGCCTCTTAAAAACTAAATTTTTATGACAAGATATATTCAGTAAATGCAGTAAACATTCACTCTTACCACAAGACTGCTGTCCAGAGAAAGCCTTTTCCCAAATTCCCTTTTCTGTAGCTGTCTTTTTTTCTCCATTGCTGAGGTTATTTGTTTTCCTTTTGATCGACTAGAAATGTCAGGCTGCTTTCAGCATCACTGGAAAAAAAAAAAGTAAAATATTTAAATGCTTATTTCAATATCCTACTTAACTGTTACTGTCTTTCATCATTAACTTTGTAATAACCCAACAGCTAATAACTTTGTGTTTCTAGTAGGCTGTGTTCCAGGAACAGATTTTCTGTGCCAAAAAATCTAAACTCTCCAAACAGAAATATTACCAATATGTTTGGGTCGCTTCTCAAAGGAGGAAGAACAAAAAAAATCTGCTATAACTGTCTTTAGCAATACACCCATGTTTCCATAGTCTTTTGAACTGGGCTGGGAGCAGAATTTGCAGAGCCAATGAGTTACCTGAGGCTGGGCAGGGGGAGGGAAACAGTTTGTTTCACATTAGTTGCACTCCTCAGTAAGCCCCGCTTGTTGGCACATCTGTGTTTCTACTGAAATGTGCAAAATTTGGACCTAATCCTGAAGAGTTCTAAAAGCTTTCAACTCCCATTATCCTTAACAAGAGACAAATGCCCTCAGCACTTGCCTTAAGTTTTTAAGGTCAAAGATTCTGCTGTAATAATCAGACAGTCCCCACTGCCTGTACAGAGCAGCCAGGGAATTCAGCCCATAAAACTACCACAGAGGGAATTAATCTTTCCAGTTTTGTAAGGTTTGGTAATTCTTGGCCAGCGGTTTCAACTAAAGCCAAGCCACAGATTACAAGTAACAGCTACCAGCTCTCTTCCTAAATGTTCTTGTGGCTATGTGCATCTGAAAATTTCAGCTTGTATTTTAAGATATTTATTGTTTGTGGTACAGGAATATGGGCGAAGTAAATGAATTTATTCAGAATTTACAAAAAGTAGTATAATGATAACAGAAATCAGAATTAAGGCAGGCAGATATAGATATGCCCAGAAGTTTTCTCTTGTATCTGTATTTACCGTGTTGCAGTCCCTGAAAAACAAGACATGGCAAAAGAAGACCTGTGTGTTTCTGATCCTTTTTGTTGTTGTGAACATCACCTCAGGTCACACGCACCCAGGTGATGCACAAATACCTCTGCTGTAGGGTAGCACAGCTGGCATTCCCAAAAGCAGCCTTGGACGTGCCCTGCAGACACATTTGCATGCCTGTGGATAGACTTGACTTCTCACGCACCTGTGACCGATCCCATCTGTCGCTGTGGGGATATCAGGCGGATAAAACCTTCCCAGCTCTTTCCTCAAGCTGACCCCAAATGCTCTGCCACGAGGGCACACAGGAGCCTGAACGTGGGCCAAGCACAGGCTGCCTGCAAGGGGAGCAGGATGCCCCAGGCACAGCTGCTGGAATCCAACAGGGTTCAGAGGCACTCTAGGATCATGGGGTGCAGCCTGGGCATCACACTGGGACTGCTCCTCTAAAACACTTCCCAAGGGGAGCAGCAAGTGCTCCAGCTACCAAACCCTGCAGTGGTGAATCCAGCCTTCTATTGAACAGCACCTGCTGGTTCCTACACTTCCTTTATACTTCTGGGTTATACTCACAGAACACCAGAATTCAGGCCTTTTTCTCCCAAACAGATTAAAGTTAACTCTCTATGTATTCATCTAAGGAACACACAATGAGAACATGTACCTACAATGGTAAGAAAATCTATTATTGCACCATGCTAATTGCTGCCTTGTGGGATTTTCTTACCTGTAAGTCCTTGCTTGCTTTTTGCATAGTTCCAACCCTAAAACTATGCATGCTATTTAATTCAGCTGATAAAGAATCTCAGTGGTGTGATATCACATAATTCCTATTGTTCCCTGATTAACGAGCAAAAGAAACACCGCAATAGATTTAAACAAACACAGCAGCAATGTATTACACTGTTTGTGTGATTGTGCCAGAAATCAGCACATGACCTTACATAATCATTATATCATTCTCCTGAGCATGCTTCATGCCTGGAGAGTATGACATCCACCAAGAGAGCCCTTGCTGAGCACAGAACCACTCAGGAATGAGCTAGTGAGAGCTACAGCTGGAGCCAGAAATCCCCATGGAAGGGCAATATGAGTTAAGTGCCTGCCTGCAGGTATTTGGTGGAACCACCCCGAATTCTAGTTTAGCAGTAAAAGCAGGAAGGATTATTATTAATTATTCCTACAGTTTATATGCTGCCCTGGGCACTTGAAGTGGATTTACTGTAGCCATACCTAGAAGAGCACAAGGACCTACTCATGTACTGGTGCAGCAGCTCCAGACCTGCTGGCTCCACTCCTTCCCACACCACGGAGCTCCCAGCTCTGCACATTACCTTTAGCAGGCTGTCACACATCTCTCTGAAGAGTTAACCACCTAAGGCTAAACACACAACCTTTTGAATCACAGGTAATTATCAGACAAGATAATACAATACATCACCTGCGCCAACATATGTTGATGCCTCAAAGTACCCATCTCAGGAGGCCTTTAAAGAAAAATGATCGTCAGAGTGAAGCACTTAAGAAAAACAGAACAAGTTTCCATCTTGGAATGGGAATTTTTGTGCATCATACTGCTTGTCACAAAGAAAAAATTACCCTTCTGAGTACATCTCTCTTCCTCTGAGACCAAACAGACTAACAAAAACTCAAAATGGAGATAACATGTCCATTGGGAAGCTCAGCAGAGGAGAACATCTGTCCAGATGGAACAGTCTTAGAACACCAAAGTGCTGAGAACCGGTTTTCCCAATCATCAAAAATACTATTTTTGTGTTATCAAGAAACAGACTGTAGAAATTTACCTGCCTTCCCTGACCAATTTGCTTGTCAATGTTTACAGCAAAGACCCCAGTGATCAGCACTCAGACCCTGATGATCCCATTTACCTTGGTGAAACTGAACCACTGCAGAGTCACATCTGATTTATGGTGTCTTCACCCATACTGCTCTCACACACATATTTCCAGATCTTTGGGGGCTCATCTTCTAGTTCTTTGTGTTGTAGAAAATGTTTCTGCTGAAGGACTCTTCCCCAAGGGACAAAAGAGTTCATCTATATTGAGCATATGGGGGCAGGCACACTGTTTGGAGCACTCAGCCATAAAGGCTGTATCCCCAAGAAGTGTATGGGGATCAGCCTAAGAGAATGGAGGTGCCAGGTGTTTGCCCAAAGTACTCTCAGGTTTGCACTGAGCTCAGGGCAGAAGGTTTTGTATGGACACAGAAAAAACTCTCAGAGGAAGACCCAAGTGTGATCTTGCTTCAACAGGGTATTACCCTCACTGCTCAGGAAGCCAGCAAGCCAGAGGCATCAGCTTGATTATATATCCTAAAGTGCAGTTATTTGTATTACTCAGTACAAGAATGTTCATTATTTCAGGAGATGGCTTGAAAAGTATGCCCTGGAGAAACAATGTGATTAACATAGAAAAGAACTCTCTAAAATCTATGCGAGAAATTTCTTGGATTATAATACCCTCTTCATTTCTAGCAGTAACAAAGGATGATTGATGTATATTGCTTTAGCTGATGAAAACGTACAACATCGTATTCCTTGGACAGGCATCCAAGATATTTTCAGGCAGTTTGAAACTGCAGTCACATTTCAACAGAGTTATGCCAACATATGCCAGCTGGGAACTTGCACACAGTATATCTGTTTGGTAACTGGAAATGGACTGTATTTATTTTTCTCTTACCAACATATATAAATTTAACAGTTATGACACATGACAAAAATGACAGCTCTGCAAACCAGCATCCTTTTGTTTAAATTCAGGGTAGATACAATGCAGCTTCCCCACTCCTGGCTTTGCACAATTTAATGCTGCCAGAAGGCAAAACACCCGTGGGGCAACAAGGTATTCCTTCTCAGCAGCCAGCTTGTCTTTCCCAGGTGTTAACAAGAGGAGAGGATTTGTGGTTTGTGGGAATCTAACTACTGGGTAACAGAATGAGGCCAGAGTTATACAGTGATCACCTTTAAATGCTTTTTCTACTCTGCTAGCCCTGCTTCTTGACAGCCAGACTTTAAGATGAGAGAAAACAACCAGAACTGGTATTATCCCTCAGCAAAGAGAGGAGGAGGGAAGCAATATCACTGGCATAGGTCAGGAAGCAGCAATGAGAAAGTAAAAATTGTCATCAATGCAAATGTTAGTTAGAATGAGCAGGTGACCTAAAGGTGAAAGATTTTATATCTCATTACCAATCTGTGGAGTGATTCAGTTTCCTAGGAACCTAATTGAATTGAGTGTGTCATTTTGCAGCTGGGTTTCTTCTGCCAGCTCTGGTGTTAACACCACTGTGCATACACCGGCTTTTGTTGTGGTCTTTGCAGGGAAGGTATAGTAAGTACAGTTTATCGGGGCCTCCCAGAATGGAAGAAAAAAAAGGATTCCAGTATTAGAGTGCTGATGTTTTTTAACAGATCAATGTTCAGCTCTATAAAATCACTACATTAACCTTGCTAGGCACAGGCCAGTAAAAATATACTAGGCTTATACTAATGAATTTGATTATTTCACTTGGTTTTTTGGGAGGTTGGGTTTTTTTCTTCCCCTAACAGCAGAGTATTCAAACCATTCAGCCTAGTCATTAAAAGGCAACCATGAAAATTATTTCAGTTCCTCACCCTTATCTCTCCCCATCATGGTATTTAGCTTGGTCATGACTAAGTGACAAAGCAGAAAAATAATTCCTAAATTCTCCCTTGAGTTGGTGTTTCAAAATTCAGCACTTGGGAAATAGAAAACTGCAACAACATCAGCACTTGTGCAACCTGACACTCAGCTAAATGCTTTTTGTTTTGCCCCAGTGTATTTCACAGCAGCACCGTGGGCAGGCCCTGCCTAATGCCAAATACTGCCAGGTATTTGCTGAGGCTGGTCAGCAGTTCATTAGCACTAATGTACATGTCATGCACTCACACCCACTGGATTAGGTTGCTATTTAGATTAGCAAACTGCATTTTTGCAGACAGGGAAGGAGAATGTGCCATGTGGCAGCATTAATGAGTTAATTAAATTAGAAAAATTCCAATGCAAGAAGCTAAAATGCTTAGATGAGTAGAATATTATGGGAATT